TTTTAACTGCATTACTTTCTCCACTAAGCACACTTGAGGAAAGGCATGAGGACATCTGGTCAAGGTATCTCTGGGTTCTGGCATTAAAGTACCACCTTATTCCAAGCATGTAGCAATGCTAGATAAAATACAAAGTCAGAGTGTAAAAGTCACAGCTGAGCTCATAATTTATCATGTCAGTGGCCCACAAATCAAAGGAAAATGTAAGTGATGAGGAGTTGTAAGCTGTGCTGAGGCCTCTGGCTTGCTGGCCTCTGAGGGGGTTGTGGGGGGAGCAGTACAACTTCTTCAGGGTTATGAGAGATTAAAGTCGTTCTACACTAGATGGAGAGCCAGAGCCATCCTTGCAGTCTGAAACCAGGACATAGAGAAGGACTCGTTTGCTGCTGAGCAAGAGTCAGAAATCTGCCCACTACCTGAGACTATAGTTTTTGATGCCAGGAGAGGCTTATGATGGCAAGGAGAACGTGACACAGCTGGTAAACTGGGAATTGAACCAGGTCCCAGGTCACTCACTGGTTCAATGATGTGACCAGAAATAATCCAGATGTCAGCACAAGGTAATACTCACATTGCCAGCATGAAAGTGATCGTACATGGGTGGTTCTGGGTACAAAATGAGTTGTAAGAGAAGGATAATGACAGGGGATGGAGCTGTATCAAAAAATTAAATGAAACTAAAAAATCTTCCCACTTCAAATGCGCTTGCAAAACAAAATTCCAAAGCACAAATCCTAACACTAGGAAAGAGCCAATGAATTTGACCGTCGAAAATAAATTTGACTAGAAGAAATTAAAATATTGAAACAGGCTAGGAAAACATTTTTAATTCTCAAAATATAAACAAAGGATTGCCATCCATAAAAAAAGGTATAAAACCCTGAAATCAAAATAGTTCAGTCTATTTATTTACAAATACTTATTAAGATCATACTATGTTCCATAGAGTCTTATGGGTGCCAAAGATACAGGAATGAACCAAATAAGTTTGTTTATGTTATTTATTTATTTATTTATTTTGAGTAGGGGAGGAGCAGAGAAAGAGAGAGAGAGAGAGAGAATCCCAAGCAAGCTCCAAACTGTCAGCACAGAGCCCAATGAGGGGCTCGATCTCACAAACCGTGAGATCATGACCTATGCCAAAATCAAGAGTTAGGTGCTTAAACCGAGCCACCCATGTACCCCCGTTTATTTATTTATTTTGAGGGGGTGGCGAGAGAGAGAGAGAGAGAGCACATGTGTGCATCCGCACGCACAGGTGGGGGAGGGGCAGAGAGAGAGAATACCAAGCAGGCTCCACGCTATCAGCACAGAGTCTGATGCAAGGCTTGAGCCCAGGAGCCTTGAGATCATGACATGCATCAAAATCAAGAGTGGGACATTTAATTGCCTGAGCCACCCAGGTGCCCCTGAACCTGGGCAGTAAAATCCATACCCACATAGAGAATTTATATTCTCGTAGGGAGTTTACCTGTTAGTGGTAAGAATGAAATAAGGATAGACAGAAATCTTGGAAGTGGAAGATAGTCATTGAAATAAAATTCCCAGTAGAAAGGATAATCTCTAGACTTGAAAATGACAGAATTTTTCATTTGGAAGACCGTACTTAGGAAATCACCTAAAATGCAGTAATGGGAACAATAAGATTTTTAAAGTGTGTGTGTGGGGTGGGGGGGAGGAGAGAGAGAGAGAGAACACATCAGATTACGTGAAGAAATAATAGCTTAGATTATTTTAGAATTGAAGACAAGACTCCTCAAGTTGAAAGGACACTCTGAGAACCTTATCTGGATAAGTAACAATAAATCACTGCCTAAACACTTTGTGGTAAAACTTTAGAACATCCAGGTTGAAAAAAAAAATCTAAACCAATCAGAAAAAAATGTATAGACTACCCCCAAAGCAAAGAAAACTAGATTGAGAGCAGACGTCAAGAGCAGTATTGAGGGGGGAAGTGTACTGTAATTTGGATTCTAGAATTTAATGACAACATATACCACTGACACACTGATCAAACATATTAATAGAATATCCAGCTTTTAAAACTGAATATTTTGGGGGGCATCTGGATGACTCAGTCAGTTAAGCATCCGACTTCAGCTTGGGTCATGATCTCACGGCTCATGAGTTCGAGCTGCGGGTTGAACTCTATGCTGATAGCATAGAGCCTGGAGCCTTCTTCAGATTCTGTGTCTTCCTCTCTCTCTCTCTCTCTCTCTCTTTCCTCTCTCTCTCTCTCTCTCTCTCTCTCTCAAAAATAAATAAACATTTAAAAAAAACTGAGTATTTTTGGGGCGCCTGGGTTAAAGGCTGGTGTTAAGCGTCCGACTTCAGCGGTAAGCGATCTCTGCTTGATCCAGAGATTCGAGCCCAGCTCAGGCTCTGGGCCAGTAAACAGACCTGGAGCCTGTTTCCGATTCTGTCTCCCTCTCTCTGCTCCTCCCCGTTCATGCTCTGTCTCTCTGTCCCAAAAATAAATAAAACGTTGAAAAAAAAATTAAAAAAAAAAAAAAAAACTGAGTATTTTTGATGAAGCAAGCCTAGAAAAAAGTAAGACTACACAAAGGAAGGAAATACCAACATGCAATAAAAGAAGACTATAAATGGCCAGCAAATACATGCAAATTGAAAATAAAAATACCAAAGGTTGAAATTTTAATAACATCAGTGTGAACAAGGATGTGGAAGAATGATCACAGATATTCTTTGGTACCTCCACTTGGGCCAAGTGTGTGGGTGACCTCATAAAGCATGAAAGTGGTAAATGCCAGCTTCTGAGTAGTGTTTACCTTGGGGAGGGAGAGTTTGGAAAAAGTGGGACTGGAGAAGGGTGAGTAACAGGGGCTCACCCATATCTGTAATACTTTATTTCTTTAAAAGGTGAAGCAAAAGTTCCAAGTACCAGGATCTGTTAAACCATGGTGGTGCATACATGGGTTTTATAGTATTAGCCTACATATGTACCTGTGTAATTGCAATGAAAGGATACTCAGAACTTTCAGGAGAACATGAATGTTTATGCACGACAATAAGGTTTATAAATAGCCAATCTTCTGGTAATGAGGCCAGTTGAAACCCAAAGTCTTTATCAGGGTCTATAAAGCCCTACAGAGTCTGCCCCTCTGACCTCTCTCAGTTGCTCATTCAGTCTACCCTAACTCCATCCCCATTGTGTGGTTTTGGACCTCACACAAATCAAACTCGTTACCTCTTCTCATACCAGCAATACTCTTAATTAGTGTTATCTCTTTCTGATACTGGGGAAAATGTAGAAAATTTAAAAATATCTCCATACATTTGATTTTGCTATTGATCCAATGCTGTTAGTAGATATTGACTCAACCAGCTAAATGGAACTGTATTTGCTTGGCCCTTGATGGATGTTCCTGTTTGCAGTGGTTCATGCCACCATAATTCAGCATTGGATGCAAACACTGAATGGGGTCACTGGAGTCCCCATACTCCTGGCAGCATCATGTGCTCAGGAGCAACAGGTAGCTGTGGGATTTAGGCTGAGGCAGTAATTTTCCGTGGAGTCGTGTACTCTTTTCCACCATATTGCTTTTTCCACCAAGCACACTTGGGGAAAGGCATGGGAACATCTGATCAAGGTATCTTTTTGCGTTCCAGCTTTGAGGCACCATCTTTGTTCCAAGATGGTATGTGGAAATCTCCTAGGAGTTCAAAGTGAATTATAATGAATAACAACTAAGTTTGGATCTGGAACTGTTTTAAAATTTTTGTTATTGTTTGGATTTGTATGTGAGAGATGAATAAACTAATTCACAGTATGAATGAGCATAATTTTCATTTTGGAAGTTATTCTTAACGTTTTGTAGTTTAAAGTATAAAACTTGATTAATGCATGCTACTTTATCTTTAAAAGACAAAAATAAACGTCACTGCTAGCTACAGTGGTCATTGGAATGGCTGTGTATGTGTGTGTGTGCGTGTGCGTGTGTCTGTGTCTGCATGCACATGTGTGCATAGTGGGACTCTGGTCATTAAGTTCTCTCTCACTGATTTTTCCCACTACAACTCATGCATTTGATAATAATCTGCCAGTATTTTGAAGTTCTAAAAGGTGCTCCACAACATCACTCTAATCAGTTTTATTTCAGTATCTTGTTGGACAATCATTCTAATACTATGGAACTTATTTTGGTATGTCAATATTAAGCGCTCAAATCTTGAAAATAATTCCACCTCATCAAAAATAGATAGTAGATTAACTATAGCTTAAATGTATCCTGTCTTCATGGGTCATTTCCTTACAACTTCAGTTTAGTATTGAGCCAAGAGCTGAGCAAATACAGCAATAATTCTTTGGAACTTGAGCTTAATTATTGCAGGCCACTAGGATTCAACTTCATGTATTAGAATACTTGTTGCCATATTGCATTATGGTGACAGAAAGAACAAGTGTATCCTCAAAGAGGGTCTAACTCCCAATTTGAGCATAGTTAGTGGGTGAAAGACTTCAACTCACTATTCTGTTTAAAATTATGGTTTGAGTATTGCTTTTATAATCTTGATCAGTAAGTGAAAACTAGATAATGTTCTCCAGTAGTCACAAGAAAATACATTTCTTCAGCTTTTGTAATAATATTAATTATTGAAGTATTGAACATGTTAATGAGCACTTACTCTGTGCTATGTACTGTTCTAAGCATTTTATTTGCATTCACTTATTTAATCTTCTAAGCAGGCTTGTGAAGTAGAAGCTAATGTTATCCCTAAATTACAGAAGAGGAAATGGAAGCACACACAAATTAAGTAATCTCTCTGAGGCCATACGATATGTAATGGAGCTGGTGGTGGTGGCTTCAGTCATTTTTTCTGAATGGAAGACTATGAACTTTTTTTGCCATCCCACCCATCATAGTTTCAACACTTATTTATTCATTTGTCTTTAACAGGAAGTCAGCGAAACTTGCATACCTTCATGCATTTTAATTTTTCTAACAATAAATGATCATTTATTCTGTGGATTCTTACAGGGCGTTCTACTTGGACAAGTCAAATTCACCACCTAACTCCACATCCAAAGCTGCCTATGTAGATAAGGTAAAAATAGATGATTGCATTTATTGATGCTTTGCCATTTACACACCACGCTTTTTAAAAAATTTTCTGCTGTTGTCTTCAACAATTTGTTCTTAAACAAATTATACATATTTGTAGTCTCCAACTCTGTTACTGCCACAATGAAAATATTTTAGACTATTCATTAAAAATTATAACAACTATGAATCACATGCCATCTAAAAGCATTTCTTCCTACTAAATGTGCTGGTCTTTATGCCCATGACTTTTTTTTTTTTTCTGCAGCTAATGAGGCCTCTCAATGCTTTGGATGAACTTTATCGACTGGTAGCCTCGTTTATCAGATCCAAGCGCACGGCCGCCTGTGCAAACACAGCTTGCAGCGCCTCCGGGGTTGGTCTGCTGTCCGTGTCCTCGGAGCTGTGCAACAGGCTGGGGGCCTGCCACATCATCATGTGCAACAGTGGCGTGCACAGGTATGTGAACCACCCTGCCCTGCCTGCGGCTCTCATACTGAAGTTCGTTCACAGGTTCTTCTTTCTATTTCAGTTACGTGAAATTATAACTGGAAACATGCAAAGGACTCAGATGTATTTGGAATAAGATTTAGGAAATCAGGTCATTGTTACACAGTTTTTCTGGCTTTAGTTATATTTTCAGTGACTGTTTATTCATATACATGAATGCAATCCCATATTTATATCACTATATCATATCTGCCCAGATGCTCATCACCCTTGTGTTTATATTATGAGATTTATACTTTAGGTACAAAGTTGTGCACCGATTTTGTTCACTGTAGGAACTTGCCTGGTAGGAGCGGGCCACTAGCTAACCAAAACTTTTTTCACTACAGTTGATGGACATTCCACTCTTCAGTGGTTTGGGTTTCTGTACCCAGTTGTTGTGAGGTAGGCGCTGCCTTAGGGTTACTACTGTCTTCCTACTTTGGGCAAAATTAAGTCCAGGAGCCCATACAATATGCGTTCCTGAAAATGGAAGGGAAGATTTTTGATGGGTCCAGTTCCAGTAGTTTGTCTTAGGCAACTGTGCTCAGTCTGGGGCAGCCAAGGTGGGTTGATGGTCTCATACAGCTGTATCAGCTGCAAAATGTGGGTGGAGGACCCCATGTCAAGTCCTTCTCCATAACCATGTACTCCTCCTCTCTCATCTCGCCATCTTCACAAGGAGGTGAAACCACGTAGTAAAAGTAAAAATAAAGCAGAATTTAGTCCTCATTGTAATCTGAGTGGGCAAATAGTGTCCTGTCACCCATCATAGCCTCTTCTTAGAACTGGGCCAGTTGGATTTTGAGGATGGTGGTATTGTTTAGTCAGATATACCTGGTACTTCATGTATGCAAAGGACTGCAGTGTTATGTCATAAAGTGGTGATGCTCATGTTAGAAACATAAATACAGCATGAACAGCCAATGACAAAAAATAATAATAAGATATCATAAGAGAGCATAAGAAAAAATTACAAAAATAACAAACCTACATTGCAAGAAAATGTAAATGGCCTAGGAAAGTTACAGCTAAAAACTAAGATTCAGAAAGAAAACAGATCTTTGAGATGGGTAGACCTTTCCAGAGAAGGTGATATTTGAACTAGGTTCTGATGGGTCCAGGTGAAGGGTAGAAAGTGGGAGAAAGATGATCTGAGACAGCAGGTTCTCATCTGTGAAATTCCATTTCAGTTTGGTGTGCCTGAAATTCTAGTTTTCAAGTCCTACACAGTGTATTCTTTCTTATGATGTATGGCAAGACCTTTTTCCTCTGAAAGGAGCATTATATTCCGTGGTTGACAGAATACACAGAATTTCCTCCTTTATTTGAATGGCTGTGTACTTTGTGCTCTATTGCAAGCTTTAATAAGCTTAATTGAAAATATCATCTGCAACCAAATGAATAAAATATTACTTCATAATTTGTTTACTAGCAGCAAAGTGATCTCTCCCTTCTGATCAACTCATGTTCACTCCTTCTGTTCCCATTTATTCATTCATTCATTTATGTATTCATTATTCATTCACTCGGTAAATATGCACTGAGCACCAATTATGTGCCAGCACTGCTCTAGCTGCTGGGGATCTAGCATTGAAAAATTAAAGTTTCTACTCTCAAATAGTGTGCATTGTGTTGGGGGGAAACCGATGATTAAGCAAACGAATATGTAATGGGGTAGATGGAATAAATAGAAAAAAGACAGGAGTCAGAGACGTAGAAGGTGTGACAGGATGGGAAGGACGAGTAGTCCCATCCAACAAGGGATTTCATCAAAGATTTGTACGGAATGAAGGAATGATTTATGCAAATATCTCCAAGAAAGAGCATTCACTCCTAGGAAGCAACAGTGCAAATGTGAGAGCTCACGTGGGAGTGTGTATAATGTGTTCAAGAAACTGCACAGAGGCCATGGTGGCCTCAACAAAGCGTCACCACCTTGGTTATTGATGTTCTTATGTTACCCTGGTGCAAGGTCATACGTAGTTGTCTGAGAACTTGATACACTATGACCCCGAAGGGGATACCTCAGACTTTGAAACTACAAGCCTATGTTACCTCCTCATTAATTTACTGAAAGTTAATTCAGTTAAATCTGCACTTAATCCTAGAATTATGACCAGGTTGTCCAAATTATTCTCTCTGCTATCCTGTGAGCAGTTTTAAAATTTGACTATTGTTACATGGGAGACATAGATTGATATCCCATAACTGTTTTATAAGTATCATATTCATTGATTGGGGTGTTAGGACCACAAGTAACACTGCACTTTCAAAGTGGTTTGACTTTTTCCATTTCTACTATTCAAAATAGATGTAGCTTTAGTTAGTTCATTTCAGAGACATTTCCTGAGGTGTAGGCAAAAATACCCCATGACAAATGCTGATTTAAAGTTGAAACTATTTGAAAATGGTACAGCTTTATTTTCCTATTATGCAGAATAAAATGGGAGTTTAACATTATCTTTTAATCTTTCAATGAAGGCTATGCTTACACTTTTCATGACAATAAAATGCACTAATTTATATTAGATTTGGAAATCTCACATAAAGACTGTTCTTAAATTAATTCTTTAGTATTATAATTCAAATGGCCAGAGAGAAACCCAAGCACATCCACACCTGCACTCAACATGAAACATGGAAGTTTACCTTCAGGTTCTGACAAACAGGAGAAGTCCACAATGTGAAGCAGAATAAATGTTGCACAACTATTTTTTATCATTGACTTCTAAAATCGAGATGAGAAATGCACAACAAGATGGTATCCACATCAGATAGTCAGTTTCCTGATTTTATTTACCAAATAGTAAAAGAATCTAAAGTCTTTTTAGAGTATTGAATTATACTTGAATTGTACTGCATATGTTTGGTATTAAAGAGAAGAATGTAGGTTTTCAGAACGAAAAGGCAGATTTAATTAGCATTAATGTCTAGATGTTTTAATGCCAACCTGAATCGTATGGCAGAGCTGCATTCAACGGTGAATGCGAGATTAGCGGGAAGAGAATTCAGAATGAATTATTAAAATCTTCTCATAGCATTTAGCCTGGCTTTGTTTTTATTAAATTCTTTTCGCTAGGGTAATCCTTTGTGTGTATTACAATTCTCCTGATGAACTTCCCTGCCCACACTCTTAACTATTCACTCATGTCAGTTCTCTTCATTGCTACTGAATGGTGAGAGAATAGGACTGTCTCTTCTTAAAAGCAGGTGTTTGCCTTTTAATCAATATCGACTGATGTTAAAAGGTAGTTTCATAAGTGAAAATCTTTTATAATTTCCTATCCTGATCAGCCTTTTTTCATTTTCACTTTGCATTCATCCGTTGCAACTTCCATCTCACAACACACAATTGGAACATAGTTGTATTGGTCCATACAGCTTAACAATCTGTTTTATGCTCATAACAACTGTATCTGTGTCTTCAAAATGTATGCATAGACTTTCTCATTATCACTTTTATTTGTCACGTAGTTAGTCCAGCCAGTTGCAATCCCAGAGTTTACTAAACCATTAGTTGAGTGGTTTATCTTCTCGTCTATTGCGCATAATGCCTAGAGGGAGGCTTCTTTCATTATGTAGCTGTTCAGATTTCAATTTGATCTCCCAGTACGTTAAAAGAAAACAAAAATATCCTCCGGATGGAATTACTGTGGCAAGTTTAAACCTATGTGGTCAATATATTATTAAGTTCTCAAAAGGATCGTGCTTGTGTATAACACAGCCAGAAGGTTAGATAGTTGTGTGGCACTTTGACCTCTTCCTGGTCTTGGGAGAGATCGAATCCAATTATCTACTGTGCTTCTCTGCTAGATATGCAAGGATATTTCAGTAGTGCCTCAGTTTATACTTCTTTTTTTTTTTTTTCAACGTTTATTTATTTTTGAGACAGAGAGAGACAGAGCATGAACGGGGGAGGGGCAGAGAGAGAGGGAGACACAGAATCGGAAACAGGCTCCAGGCTCTGAGCCATCAGCCCAGAGCCTGACGCGGGGCTGGAACTCACGGACCACGAGATCGTGACCTGGCTGAAGTCGGACGCTTAACCGACTGCGCCACCCAGGCGCCCCCAGTTTATACTTCTTTGATTAACAAATACCAACATGTGAATTGAGTATTTTTTGAATTTCCTTTTCTACAAAGATTCATACAAAGACTGTCTATATATCTACTTTATAGGCAAATTGTTTTTTGCCACATTGAACATTTTCACAGTATTGAATCGGCCCTATGACTTTTAATGTCCTCTTTTGTACTCATACCAGTCAGCTGTTGCAGGCAATCCAAAAGCATGCTACAGGGGACCAGAATTTCCCCTCTATTTCTTACTGCAGCATCCTTCCATTAAATGCAATGTTTCATTTCGTTGTGGTTCTTTATCCCCCCCACAGCCCCCACTTAATAGGCAACTGTTTTCTTGAACCAGTATAAATCAGTGTGCTGCAAATGTTATAAAACCTGAATCACGAGTCTTACTGTGTCCAAAAACAAAGGTGTCATTTTCTTCCCACTACATTAGCTTCTGCTTGCCTTGCCGGTGGGAACAAGTGGGTGGAAATTTCCAGAGGCTACCTGAGACGATTTGTCAAAGAAATTTCTAGTGAGGGCAGGAAATCTGGGATCACAGTTTTTCCCTCTAAGGACTTGTTCCAAAGAGTTTTTGTCCGCTTAGTCTCAGTATTTTTTAATAATTGGTTTTCAGTGGTGTCAGAACCCTGGTATGGCCCTGCAGGAAAGTGCGTGATTTGAGCACAGGCCTCATGTCTAACTCCCCTTTGAGCCCAAACCTTGGAGATCTGTACACATAAATTACGTTTTATCTTCATGCTTTGTTGTGAGGATGAGTCTCTTACAGGAAACAAAACCTTGCATTTTTTTTAAAGATTTCTTTAATTTTTTTTTTTTTTTTTTTTGAGAGACAGAGTGTGCATGCCAGTGGGGGAGGAGTAGAAGGAGAGGGAAAGAGA